ACTTGGAGTGCAAGTCAAGGCTTTTCAAGATCCCTTAGTTATTTGGTTTCCTTATTCCATTATGATTTCTAGATTGATTAGGATACTTAATATTTTATTGCTTTATTAGAGTTATAGCTAGATTAGTAATAGATCTATTTGATGCCTATGTAAAGGCCCTTCCTCTTGTTATTTTTTATCATCCAGAAATTAATAGAAAAACCGAACTTTTGTTCAAACACTTTGCCTTAGATTTCTTCTAGATTTCTTTTGCAATTTTATCGTTTCGAAGGGGCGCGGTTGTGTGAACCTACGAGGAACCTATCGGCGATTCAAGGCACGAGTTTGTGGCTTATCGGCAATCGGGACACGCGATCTTCATCACGCTGCTGGCGCGCTGTCGCGAATGCTGGTACCTCGTGCACGCTGGCGCGGGCACGGGTAGACTGCGGCCGGGCACTACCACGCTGCATGCGCGGCCAATGACCAAGGCCGGCCCTTGCCAGAACTCCGGCGACTTTCTCCAGTGACATGCATGACATATGAACTTAATATGATGAATGTGCTACATATATGCTATGAAACACTAGTGGACCCCGGGTCTACGTGCATGTTCACTCGATAGCGCCTAAATGGAACGTACGAGCACTTAACCTCCGAACCAACATTCTCAACATGCAAATCTACTCAGAGCCGAATGTTTAACATGATAAAACAAGGGTAAAATGGCTAGAACTCATGTCATAACTTGCATGCATGAAGGTAGGCCTCAGGTGCCCAAATTAGCATATTTACATGAGTGAAATGACTTAGCTAATGAACTTCATTTATTCTCAAACTTTTACACCATCAATGATATAATATTTGAGGGTGATTTAGCCTACAATCTCGACTTAGGCATGCTTGCTACAAAATTTTCATTTTTAAGGCCATTAATTAATTAAATTCGAAACTAACACTTAACAACTTGCATGGCTTAATTTTACCTCATGATAAATCATATTATATCTTAAATTGACTAAATAACTCAAGAGGCACAAGCTTACCTCGGTTGAAAATGGAGAATTCGAGTTAGGGCTCAATATGGGTTTGGGCGGCCTTGAGGCTTAAGGTCGACTTGTGGTGTGATTTGGTCGAGCCTTGCCAACTCCAAAGACTTAGAAAAATCTAAGGAACACTTAGATGCTGCTAAGCCTCGTGGAAAAATGGCTGTAAAGGGCTGGACCTCGCTCCTCCTCTTCCCCGGGCTGGTGGGCGCGCACAATGGGCTGGGAAGGGCTTCTCGACTTTGCTCTGAATTTATTAAGTTTTTTCTCGAGTAATCTGGAGTCTAAGAGCTTCAAATGGACTGAAGAAGAGGTATTTTATAGTGGTGAAGGGCGGAGTGCACAAGGCTGGTCAATGGGGGACAAAAGTCCATGACTTTGCCTATCTCCATGCGCATAGGGACTTGAGTGGTCTTTGTGGGTTTGGCCTGACTTCATGCACGATTTTTGGTGGCCAAATGAGTGGAGAATCTCAGCATTATAGGGTAGGAGAAGGTCTGGTCAGACTGGGGCATGTGGGGGGGGACAAACTCTTACACCATTGAATGTAATAATCAAGTGCCCATCACTCCACTTCATGCTAATCTTGGCTGACTTTGCTTAAACTTTGTTAGGGCCATTTTAAGCCTAATTAATCCTCATTAAGCCCTTAACATTCGCAGCATTTGGGTCATGAAAGAAGTCGGCCGAATTTCTTGAAAATGGGCTTGGAATGTGGGCTGCCACAGACCCGCGCTGGGCCTGGGCGCTGGCTGCTGGGCGCGACCTGCTGGGCTGGTGTGAGGCCTGCTGGGCGCGAGGCGGGGCTGCGCGTGGGGGCTGCATGGGCTGAGCGCGGGAACACCTTGGGCCGGGTATAATGGGCTAGGACAAGTTCCCAACACTTAGAAAAATATGTGGGATGATGGTTAGGCCTTGGACAAGGTCTTAGACGGTCCTTGGGCGCGACTCAGGGCGCGGGTGCGAGGTTAGGGCACGGGCGGCTCGGGTAGGTCTAGGGCTCGATTTTTAAAATGTTCGAGACTTACTTCTTGATATTCCAAGACTTAGAAAATTATTCTAAGTATAAAATACCAAGACTTGGCTATGCTCGAGAATTAACTTGAAAAATAATTGGAACCAAACTAGGGTTCGAAGCCGATAATTTATCGAGTCAATTTGCTATACTTTAACAATCCAAATTAATGGATTGATCTTAACTTATACTTTAATATTCCAAAGAATAATCTATCCTTGTGAGCATTTAGCATATAAAATATAACTTAGAAATTTCTGAAAATACGGATATCACTTATAGTCGAGCAATGAACCGTTCTTAATATTATTACTGATTTGGGGCGTTACATATGTGGTGTGAAAAAACAACTTCAAATGTTACTATGTGGTGTGTAAAACAACTTCTACCAGAATCGAAAGATCCCGACCGGTTCAGTAGATCTACGAGAGGTGTCCCGGTGTAGAGACTCCGACGATCAAGTCAGTATGTGACTGAGGAAGATGATGAACTATAACAATATTGTTTATAAGTATGTAATAGTATGTAGAGTGTGGATGGACATATCTCACCTCTTTTTATAGGGGTGTTACGTTGTTGTTCAAAACTGCCCGGATGAGCTACTCGGATGCTCGAGCTACACATTCTTATTGCCCAGATGCTCAAACTGCCCGATTCTGTTAGGCCATGTGGTCCTATCCACGTGAGGTACCTATCTAAATAATATTTCTTCTTATCTCTTAAGTAAAGTGTCCACATAGTCTTCCGGTATAATCGTATGATCAACTCGACTTCCTTTGAGTTAGACTGCTTTTCAGGTCGCATCATCGACTTGTACACCTCCAAGTTGAGTTTCCACAAGGCTAAACCAAGAAGTGTAGCTGGACATATGGGTGAGCCTTTTTACCTGTGGACTCATCGTCAACCTGGCGACTCTTCAACCTCCTAGGTCCTCGATCTCCGATCGATCTATTGGTCCTCCCGATTATTCAAACCACTTCTCAGGTCGAGTCGACCCGTTATGGTATCCCATACCATCTGTTCCCCCCCACCCCCACCCCCACCCACTCTCTGGTCGGCTTAAGATAACTCCATCTAAGAGTAACATCGGTTGTCTTTAGTCGCACTAGTTGAGGTCGCAGCTTGTCTATCTGACCTCCTAGCTCATACCTCCTTTATTTAATTGAGACAATTTTATCGACTTAAGGCTGAGGTCTCGAGTTCAAAATTTAAAATTCAAAATTTTAAAATATTGTCTAGCAACCTGACGTCCTTTCAATCGGTATAACGTCCTCTTGACATAACCGCCTCGAGTCCTGTGTCGTCCTGGTACAATGTACCCATTAAAGGTTGTATTCATTCCGTCCATCTGATTTCCCTTTTAGCCGACAGTCCAAAATGAGTTGTCGTCTCAATTGACCTTTTCAATCTCATTCGTCCATTTCGACCTTAATCCAACGGTCTTGCTCGACCACCTATTCGCCTCGTACCCGTTCAATCTTGTCCGTTTACTTCGCCTTCAATCGGATGGTCGGGGTCGATAGACCTATCGAGATCTTCTTCCTTTTTGCCTATAAATACATACCTTAGCTCCGTTTTTCCATTTTTTTTCACCTTTGCAAAAATCTCTCTGCAATATATTCTCCTGGTGCTTCTTTCACAAAAACCTAAGTTATCGCCGTCGCAATTCCGTCGTTGACCACCACAACTTCTTCCAAATACCGAACATTAATCATGTCAATGAGTAAGTATGACCACCACAATATTTCCTATTTATTAATTAATCCGGTTTAACCAGTGATCCGACCAATAAACCATTGAACATGTAGTTTCACCGATTCAATGAATGGTTCGGTTTTCAAAACCTTAGTTTTTAAGGTCTTTGTACAACTCTCCATCGCGATGAGGACAATGTATGTTTCCACCTCATGCGTGTTTTGAGTTTGTAAGGAAGCATGTGGTTTTATCTCATTCTTGTTCTAGGGATTTTTGTAAAGCCTCATTAACTTTTTAGAACTTGAAAATAATGTCTACTGCGGTTGTTTATTAAATAATAAGTCAAAGATGGATGCAGTTACACCCCTAGGTTTCAACTCTAACTACACAAAAAATAAAAATTACTAACTCCCCCTTAAGAGTTGTTTCTATGTTTTAAATTGCCCACAAAGGTTGACATTGTCAGAGTTCGTTGCTCATTGTTATAACTTGTTGTATCCGTTGATGGGTGGCACTTACTATCATATCATTGCCAAATCGAGTCAAACTTAGAACGCTAGCTAGATTTTACTACCTAATACTCATCCAAAACACACTTTCTCTACAAAAATTAATCCTCACAAGCTTTGGGTTTCTTTTTACATATGTGTCAAATAAATAGACTTAAATCTATAATGACATGGACAAACTCAAACCAAAAAATCCAAAAAAAAATACTAGGTCTAGAATACCTAACAACCAATAAAAATATAATAATAGTAAATGATTGCTATTGTAAGGTTCACACTTAAGTCCAAAATAGACCCAAGAGTGGACTTGGTCTCTTTTTTTTATTGCCACATAAGCTAGACTAGGTCCATTAATTACATTATGAAACACTTTTTTATAGACTAATTATATTTTCTACATGGCATGTGATTTTTTTTGGCATGTGATTTTTTTTAAAGAGACCCAAATCATTGTGGGTGATCTAAGAGACTAAAGCTCATAGCTCAGCGTTGAAATCATCAACTGCAAGTACCAGCCAAGCTCAATCATTGGAGTTATTTTCTGCAGTTCTATAAGATGTCAGCACAACTGCACAAGACTCCAAAATTAATCACTTGGAGTCAATTAGACAAAGCAAGAAACAACGCTGACCGCACAAAGTTGCACTCATTTTTTCAATCTACAATTGAACTGAAAAACAAAATACAGAACAACATAATAAACCAAATCAAAGGCAATCAACACCTGATCTCCCATAAGCACATTTTTGAGTTGCAAAATAAGCTTTGAAGTAAACCCACAACAAGATTCTTGAATCAAATCTCATGGAAAACGAAAATATAACAGAATATAGAGAAGGGGGGAAGGGAATAAAATCACTCCTTCCTATAAGAAGGGCTCGCTATGAACTGCTTGGTCATTCTCTACACTGAAATTTGCTATTGGTGATGATAAGGGCGAATCGGAGAAGAGTGTGGCAGCCCATTCTGTGTGTTGGGTGGCATTGGGCCTGCACCTGGGCCCATTGGAGGAGCTCCTGCAGGAGGTGGTGGCCCATAAGGGTAGTTATGCATTTGCATTGGCATAGATTGAGGCATGAGACCTGGGTTCCAACCGGCCGAAGGGGGAGGAATTGCACGAGGATCAGGCGCAGGAGCATATTGTGGTCCACCAAAGGCTTGGACAGCTGGACCTCCAACAGCATAAGGTTGTTGCCCTAATATCGAGGGTTGAGAACTCAAAACAGGAGTGTTAGGAATGGTATAGTCTCTGCTCCTATCATTATTGACCTGAAAACGACAACATAGCTCAAAGTCAATGCATGGCTCCACATGCCACAAATCATCAAATGCAAGGGTTCTTTACATTATACAGCGAACAAGTCAAAACTCAAAAGTATTGTTTAAAAGATACAATTATCTATCAAAATAAAAACATCTTTGATTTTTGTAACTTAATAATTTACTGATATATTTTCTAATTCTTAAACCATTTTTCAAGGAGCCTCACCTTAATGCTGAGATCAGTGTGTCGGGAATATGAGAGATGAAGCTTGCAATATCCTCCATCGTATATGCAATGGCCTTCCAAGGCTTCCTTTGCCACAACAGCTGTCTGGACATCTGCAAGTCGACTACATTGTGAATATTGTGATCTAGTACTGTTTTCAACTATTAGACTTCTTGACAGGAACCTTTGAAAGAAGCACAATTTTACACGTCAAGCAATTTAGTATGTCATACCAGGATACTGAATCAAGGCTTGGAGACCCCCATTTTTATCGAACATGGCTATTTTTAGGACCGGTCCAAATGCAGAGAAGACCTGTGCACAAGATAGAATCAAAGTGAGTATTTAAGTAATAAATGATCTCTAAAGTCTGATCATGACTGAAGATTGTTTTACCGTATGTAGCACGTCCAAGGTAACTGCATATTGCATGTTTTCAATGGAAGCAAGTAGAACATTGCTCTCTGGTTCCAATTTCTTCCCATCAACTCCTACGCTGAACTGCAACAAGGCAGGCAGAATCTGTAACCCACACACATGTGAGAGAGAGAGAGAGAGAGAGAGATTTACCTGGCCACTTGCATCTATAGCTGAGGGAGCAACAGGGAGCATTGGATTGGTATAGTCCCTAAATCAACACAGAATTCTAAATATTAGCCTAAAACATAAATAGGCCTCTATGGTCATTGGTCAAGATATATCCAAAACAATAGTCAAGTATTATAGGTTCATAAAATAAAGCAATCGGTAAATTCGGTTTACCTACTACGATGACTCTGGAATTTTACGCTCAGGTCTGTATGTGCAGAGTATGTTATTTTAAGTGAACATGGTCCAAGCTCTGGGATCAAATACCTGAAACGGACCAACACGAGAGCAGTAAATCAACAAGAACACTGTGCTTAGACCAGGTATTATCATGTTATTCTACATTTAATTAGCAAAAAATGTCTTACAGCCCATCCTAGGCCCAATCTACTCAATTCTAAGAACTTGGGTACAGAGGAAGACATAAAGTTACCCTGCAGAGTTTCTATACTGGTGAAACTAAGTTCGTAAAGATATTGTGCACAAAAAAAAGCAAGTGTGACAAACTTGACGCAAAATATGGTAAAAGACACACATACAGCTTATTTTCCATACTTCACACATTGGTCATTTAGTTGCAGCTCAAATTCCCACTACTTTCTGACAGTTCATATAATATGTCAGTGATTCGGACCATAATTGACCAATAAGGAAACACTTAACCAGAATGGCCCGCAAAACAGAAGGTAACAGGAGACAAGGAAATAACTTAGTAATGCAAGGTAGAGTGGGGCGTAAGGAACATGCATGTACCCCTTTAGCAGATTCTTAATAAAGCTGCTGAAAGATGTCCAGCCCAATGTATTCATATCAGTTGGGGATACATCCAAACCCAAATATAAAAATCCAGATCACCTTGGAATGCTTCTTCCATCAAGAGCATCCTTGGCAGCAGAAGCGGTCTCTGAATCAGAAAACTGCACCAGTGCCTAATTAAGGATAAAATAAACACTGAGATCATATGGCACAGATTAAATATAAATGTATATATATGAACATTTCTGTAAAATATTTCATAAGAAACAAACCTGAAATCCAGCAGTCTTTTCAAAGGTAGTAATCTTATGCACAAAACCAAATGCTGAGAATACCTGCACACCAAACAAAATTTTATTACTGGAACACATAACATGCAAATAATGTAAATGTAAATTAAATGTAAATTAGCAAAAAAGAGCAACTAAAAAAAATTAGGCAACAGATATCCTGCTTTCATCTTTCACACAAAAAACGTGTCACAGACAAGGGTAAGTCAGACAGAAAATCGGAGAACCCCACACCATTTGAGAAGCAAACTGTAATCTACAGATTATTTCCCAGCAACTAAAAAGAGAGGAATCTTCTATTAGACAGCCAAAGTCCCCAACACATAACTAAGAGCAAAACTATCAAAGCAGCCAACGACATTGCAAGCAATATAACAGGAAATGAGCAGAAATGAGGGACAAGTATAGGTGCACCCAAACATATATTTATGCAAAAGGAATTTGCTAAAACTAATCATCCTCTCTCACAAACAATACAGAATGAGAAGATATCATTAATTGTATCAAAAAATTGAAATAAGCAAATTTAATTTTTCTAGCTCGTCTCAGAATATAAACTGAGGAATTATAGACAGGAAATTCAAAAGGAAGCATTCTAGAGGGTTAGATAACACAAATAATTTCATCAAGTTTCAGGTTAGGTTAAATAGTTCATAACCTAGAGCATTAACTGTTTCCTAGAAGTTGCACCTGAAGTTTCAGAATCATGCTTGTCCTGACGGACCTGACCAACTCTAGTTAAAAACTGGATAGGAATTAAGGGACCTCTCTTGAGATTAAAATATAAGGGGGAAATAAGTTAAAAAAACAACTTTGAGAAAAATCCAAATAACAAAGATAAATAAATTAATTAATTAAAAATAGAAGTTCTAAGATTAATGTGAAGGTTTCTAACAAAAGAACAAGTAACATACTATGAAGTAAACTGTACAGAGAACCCAGAAATAAAGAAATCTATATGAGGTTTCTAAAAAAGTCAGGGCTAGAATCACGAAGGGGTAAAAGGGAAGAAAGAGGCAGTGTTAAGCAAGGAAAAAGAAGACAAACACACATGTGCTGTTTCTCCCGAATCAATAAGCTGCCACTGAAGCTATTTCTTTGACATGTGCCTGCTGATTCATTCAGACCCTTGTCAAATAATAACCATATAAAGCACGAGACTCTTCAATCTAGACACATATATCACACACGAAGTCCTGTCGGTGAATTTACATTGAGTCCATATCGCGAAGAAGGTGTTACTTACCAAGTGTAGGACATCAATACTAACAAGACGTGCATCATTCCCTTCAATTGTCACCAAAAGCACGTTCCCAGCAACATCTGCAGTAGTTTTGTTGTTCACTATTTCTTGTCTGTTGGAATATTGTAGGTAGACGGTTTTCCCTCGTACCTGAGCTGGCTCAGATGATGATGCATAATACGAAATCATAGCAATAGCTTGGTTTAGTTCTGCCTGAAAAAAAATTAAAAAGAAAGAGAAAATAACATCAGTTCATACAATTCAAACGGACGCCCATGAATGAGGCGACAGTTTAGACTTACAAATTCAATAAAAGCTTGGTTTCGATTGGCTCCAACATTACACTTTGTGTTAACAACTTTCCCGAATGGTTTACCCAGTTCGATCAATTCCTCTTCAGTACATTCCCATGGTAAATTCCTCAAATGGAGAACCTTTGATGGAGGTTGGGTGTAGCGGAACTGTGGCTGGCTGGAAACAGACGACATCCCGCACTACAGCCCAAGCTGCAAATCGTAAACAAATTAAATTCTACGTCCATTGATAATCAAGAATATTAAATCAGCTTCACCAAGATTATACAAATTAATCAGAAAAGGATATAAAACACACAAGAACCAAGTTTCATACTTTTGACAAGGCCTAATCTAATTCCTTGAAAACGAGAAAACAGACTTCTGGCATGCATACTAAAGATTCTTCACCATTACTCGAGCACTTATAAGTTGTATACCATTAACGTTCACCAACCATATTCTTTGGGAGTCAATGAAAACCATATTTGGCAAATTTTTCGTGTTCGAAGAGTTTCTCCAAAAAAATCTCAGTTCTATCCTCGTAGACATATAATAAATAACACAGCTGCATTCCAACAAATAGAACTTCACATAAATGGAGAAACCTAATCCAAATCATCAATAACATACAAAACCTGAAACAAACTAATTAGCTACAAACGTAGATCTCCCATGGGATTGAATCTAATCAACTTGCCACAACTTCGGAAACACATAATCGAACAAAACAAAAGGATAGCAAATTAATATCCCTACCTATGAACACAAACCTAGCATAAGACCGTTGACAAAAGAGAATTGAGAACGGAATAGTTTATAAAAAAAAGTACTTCACCTGAGGAAAGAATTAACAAATTAGGGTTTCAGAGATCGCGGTATAGTTAATGCCTGAAATTGCCGAATCGAAAAAAGAAGAAAACAATGTTATTATTTATCTATTTTATATTATCGTGTTGGTGGTGGGGAGAAACGTCAAGTCCCAAGTGTAGATTTTTACGTGGTTGGGTATACTTTAGTTGGATGCCATTCACTATGGAATATGAGGCCAATTGGGCCAAACTTTATGGGCCCACAATTGGGCCAAACGTTACAAATTATTTACAAATTAAAAATAGAGAAAATTGTGATTTTGAGTACTCCAACTTTTTAGACCTTTTAAATAGCTGATTTGATTTTAATCCTTTTCGTTTAAAAAAAGGTTATAAAATGGTCATTGATTCGTTGGAAATTCAAAATTTGACCAGATAATAGTCACGTGACATCATTAACGAGTTCATTTAATCCTATATGGAACCGGAGCCAAAACTGAAATTTTGAGAAGATATATCAGAATTGCGCTAATATTAATAGATGTACGTTCAATCAAATGTGTAAGCAAGATTCTACAAAACATTAGCCTTCAGGAGAGCATCACGCTCTCTCTCCCGAACTCTTTCATATATCTTGGTGTTTGTCTCATTACACTTACGAATTACAACGAAGACTCACTCTTCTGAACTTATAATGTAATCACCTATGCAACTACTTTCCCGACCACAAATCCGTTGTGGATTTTAACAACATAAATCCCTTGTATTGTTCTAAGTCTTCCTCCCGAACACTTATACTCTTGTAAATTATGAATATCTTCAATGAGATCGAGAACAGGCTCTCGTTTCCTCTCAATCAAAATAAAATAAATCCTAAAGTGAATAATTCACGAACAGCTCTCCACCCCTTTTTTCGAAACAAAATCAAAATAATAATGGATGAAGTGAATTCTTTCAATCGTGCGTGGAAGCATTTTTATAGCTGCTCATTATGGTAAGTCCACCTTGCCGTCAATCTTCCAAACTTAGTCGTGTCCACATTCTTGCGTTTGTGGCCACTTGTCTCTTTTGCAAGCCAACTCTACATGGTAAGTTATTCCTCCTTCTCACTGCTTCTCTATATGGTAATTGTGTGTGCGGCAACTTCATAAGGTAAGATATCTCGATTACCTTCAAATAAAAAAATCTAATTAAAGGACTTAACAAAATAAAATGAAGGTAATAAAATAAATTAAGATAATAAAAACTTCCCTTTTATCTTTCAGTATGGTTCTAGAATACGGTGTAGGTTCCAAGCTTTAGCTTAGAGTTTGTCGATTTAATGTCAAACTTCACAAATACTTACAATCTCCCCCTTTTGGCATATAAAGCGAAAACTCATTGTCATGGACTTGCATCAAATACACAGCAACAACAAAACCCAGTACACCAATCACAGAACCAACATTGCATGTCTAAAAAGAAGTTGGTCATAAGAACAACTCCAATCATCCAAACCTATAGAAGAAACAAATATACTATCCAAGCAGACAACATACATAGTTCATCATGCCACCACACACATTAACAAAAGCAAATAAAAGTTTTCATCACCTAAACACTTCAAGGGTAACTAACACAAAATCATTTTTTTTTTTCAAAACACACAGCATGCAGACAAAGAGTCTAATTAGACTCTTCATTTTCAGAACCTTCATCGGAACCTGCAGAGCATTCAGAACATGAGCCCTCTTCCACTTCATCAGAGCCAGCATCCTCTTCTTTTTCTTCTTCACTTCCTTGCTCAACCATTTCTTTAATTTTCTTCTCAATAGCAGCACTTTTCACATCCCCTTTCTTCTTTGGTTGCTCTCTCCCTTTCTTCTTGGCCTTTGCCTCTCCCTTTTTTGTTGTATGTGCCAAAGGAGATTTGGTCTTTAGAGCACCAAGAATTTCCTTGTAGTGCTCTTACTCATCTTCCAGTGCTCCCTGCTACAAGGGCCCCCGTGCCATCTTATTTGTCTGAGTGCAACGTCGACCTCACTATAATATATAAGAGTGTACATGGCATGGGAGGCTTCAACCTCATATGCAATGCAGTCTCTTGCCACTGACCACATCTCCTGGTCGCCATACACGTGATCCGCGAGCACGCGAAATCCCAGTTGCCATCCGTGACAACATCCAGGTAGCTTTCTATGTAGTCTAAAATTACGTAGCGAATTTGAGACACATATGCAAATGCAAAGATAGATGTCGGTCTAATCTCTGTAATATCAGAATAATTTCATGTTACAATTTATATAAATAATTTAGTTAACATTCAGATAAAACAAAATATTTCACATGTTGCCTCTTGTAAAAGGAGACAAGACGAGTTTGTCTGGGCACACAAAGAACTGCTTGTACGCCCCCACGAACGACCTCTGACTCTGTACTCATATCTCAATGGCCGACGCTTTGTTGAATTGTTTTTCTTTTGATCGATCTCTTGTATTTTCTTTCACCGCAGGTTCTCTAGAAGCTTGTTGGTCAGGGTGAAGCTGAGCATGGCTGAGGTGATTCAAGTGTCGCATCATTGCAACATTGCGGGGGTAAACCTCGTCGACAAGGTTCTGAAAAACCTGATGATCTGTCGATCCAGTCTGGTCACTTGTCCTTACAGACTCTAACACTTCTAGTGTGCTTCAGAAAATATGGATACTGTCAACAGTAATCAACTCTCCAGAAGTCAGTGCCGCCCTTAGTTGACAGGCACAAGAAAGTCCATGAGTGAATCTCAGTGAACAACCGTAGAGCAAGTCAACCTCATCGCTCAATTGTTTCATCCACTGAAGCTCATTATTCAATAGATTCAAAAAGTGATGCGAGACCCACAGTCTCAAATACGCGAGTGGGAATCCAGTATACATCACAACATTCTTACGTCTTGAATACTCCAGCGTGTACATGGTAATACATTACATAACATTAGACCCAATGAAATTCGTAATTAATGTAGTAATAAAACTGTAAATATGTGTAGCTTAAGAAATATATCTGACCCGAGTCAGTGGAAACTCAATCTCCTTGTCAACCTTCTCACGCACTGTATCGAGCGAACCGGCTGACGTGTTAAGCTACTGCTTTTTTTAACATACCGTGGGCACTCTCCACCATACACGAGGTTGTGTTATCAAAATGTGTTACCATGTTCATCTAGACATTAACAAACTTTTCCTTGTGGACTAACCATGCGTGCTCCACATATTGTAACACTTTCTGAAACCTCTTCCACCGACCATGCATTTTAGCTACGGCCCTGTGTTATTGATCCTCCGTTTCCACTTTCCACCTGCCGTGTGTGAACTTCTGAGCGATTTCTCTATTTTTTTTCCAAGGAGTCGATAGGCTTTATCTTCAACCTTGTTGATGTGCCACGTGTATAATAGTGGACAGATTCTAGAAAAATCTCCGAATAGGAATCATTATACCAAACTCCCTGTCAATGACAATGGTTGTAGGATGTACTTCAGACCCTATCAGATATCTCAACATCTGTAGAACCCACTGATAGATGTACTCGCTCTTGTTCTTCATAATTGCATATGCAATTAAGAAGTTCTTGTCGCACAATGTCATCCTAACAATTTCCACGAACGGCATCTGGTAGCTGTGCAAATGAGAGAAACAAGAGGAAACATAGATGTAACGCCCCGTTTTATTTTAAAGAATTTACCGAATTTATTTATAAAAATCAGAGTTTATTTTTTTTTTTTTTTTTGCAAAATCCCAATTTAAAACTTTAACGTTCAACGGGCGCTACATAAACTACTAAGACAAATAAACATTTACACAGATAAAATCTAACAGTTCAAAAATAAAATTCAAATTATTCATAATCCTCAAACCCAGTCATGCATAATTAAAAATTCAACGGAAAAATCCATGGTCAAACAAACATGTTCAAAATAATTAAAACGGAAGCATAATTATTCAAAGTTAAACAAATGGTCTATCGAGATAATAAAAGCGGAAGCAAGTAACACAATCCAACGACCACCACTCGATCGTCTCTCGCTGCCGCCGCCAACCATGCTCAACCTAAAAAGATAGGAAGAGGAACAAGAGGACAGAAAAGTAAATGGGGGGTGAGTACAACCATCATACTCACCATTACCGCATAGTATATTTCGCATAAAGATCCATAACCATAAATAATGTATGCATAGAATCCAGATCTAATTCCCTATTAGGCCCTATCGCAAACCTCCTATGTACATACAACAAACCTTCCGACCAGACATCGGCAAGGATGTAACTGGAAGCACTCCCACCCTGGATGCAACGGGCATAGGATATTATCCAGGAGACAGTGAAGTTGAAATACCCCTCCGCTCTACACGGATTCGGGCGTTCAGACAATCCCCTCCGCTCTACACGGATTCGGGCGCCCACCTCCCGGATACGACGGGCAGGTGACTTCCAATGATTATGCATTCGTCAAAGGCACTACCGTCAGGACACTTAGACTAGGGTTCTCACGCATACAGAAGCTATCGCGACAAACATTTATATGAAATAACAAGTGCGATAAATGTAGATTCAACATAAATGAACCCACCTGGTAGCGATCGAGTCAAACACACAAGAATAGTAGTCGGCGAGGTCGACTCGTCAAACACCTACATTTATTAAAATAGCCTTATCAAAGACTATTAAACAATTTACTTAGTTCAACTAAGTTCACGTAAGCATTCAAGCATGCATTAGATCAAGGAAGACACATTTCATAAAATATCACTTAAGTTTTGAAAAAGTTAACCCGGGCAGCGTTCTTAAAATCGACATAATTTTCAGCACACAACTCGTATGAACATAAATCAAATTGCATTGGAATCCTAAGAGATAAATCTAAAATTCTTATGAAGACACCAAAGGCAAATGAGGTCATTTAACTGGTGATAATCCAACAAACATCAAAATTTGAGTCACAGTCCAAAACTGGAAAAATACACTTGACTAGACTTCAGTAATTTCTATTTAACTGGAGCTACAGTCATGCTTTTAATGAATTTCAAAAACCACATGATAGATAACTCAAATGTATACAACGTTTCAGAATATCATATTGGAAAATAATCACATTAACCACTAGTTTAAATACAAGACATGTGATTCAGTAAATCTGTCAAAACAGGTATAATGAACCTGG